TAAACATGGTTTAAACATGGTTTAAAATGGTTTAACATGGTTTAACATGGTTTAACATGGTTTAACATGGTTTAACATGGTTTAACATGGTTTAACATGGTTTAACATGGTTTAACATGGTTTAACATGGTTTAACATGGTTTAACATGGTTTAACATGGTTTAACATGGTTTAAACATGGTTTAAACATGGTTTAAACATGGTTTAAACATGGTTTAAACATGGTTTAAACATGGTTAAACATGGTTTAAACATGGTTTAACATGGTTTAAACATGGTTTAACATGGTTTAACATGGTTTAACATGGTTTAAACATGGTTTAACATGGTTTAACATGGTTTAACATGGTTTAACATGGTTTAAACATGGTTTAAACATGGTTTAACATGGTTTAACATGGTTCAACCATGGTTTAACATGTTAACATGGTTTAACATGGTGTCAACTATGGGTTAACATGGTTTCTTTAAACTGGCTTCAACATGCGTGTAACCATGGTTCACATGGTTTCCATGGTTCAACATGGTTTAACAGGTTCAATGGTTGTAACATGTTTAACATGGTTCAAATGGGTTAAACATGGTTCAACATGGTGTTCAAAATGGGTTAACAGGTTTAAACATGGTTTAACATGGTTTAACATGGTTCAACATGGTTCAACATGGTTCAACATGGTTTAACATGGTTTAACATGGTTCAACATGGTTCAACATGGTTCAACATGGTTTAACATGGTTTAACATGGTTTAACATGGTTCAACATGGTTCAACATGGTTTAACATGGTTTAACATGGTTCAACATGGTTCAACATGGTTTAACATGGTTTAACATGGTTCAACATGGTTCAACATGGTTTAACTTTTTTTAAACATGGTTCAACATGGTTCAACATGGTTTAACATGGTTTAACATGGTTCAACATGGTTTAACATGGTTTAACATGGTTCAACATGGTTTAACATGGTTTAACATGGTTTAACATGGTTCAACATGGTTCAACATGGTTTAACATGGTTTAACATGGTTCAACATGGTTCAACATGGTTTAACATGGTTTAACATGGTTCAACATGGTTCAACATGGTTTAACATGGTTTAACATGGTTCAACATGGTTCAACATGGTTTAACATGGTTTAACATGGTTCAGCATGGTTCAACATGGTTTAACATGGTTTAACATGGTTCAACATGGTTCAACATGGTTTAACATGGTTTAACATGGTTCAACATGGTTCAACATGGTTTAACATGGTTTAACATGGTTCAACATGGTTCAACATGGTTTAACATGGTTTAACATGGTTTAACATGGTTTAACATGGTTTAACATGGTTTAACATGGTTTAACATGGTTTAACATGGTTTAACATGGTTTAACATGGTTTAACATGGTTTAAACATGGTTTAACATGGTTTAACATGGTTTAACATGGTTTAACATGGTTTAACATGGTTTAACATGGTTTAACATGGTTTAACATGGTTAAACATGGTTTAACATGGTTTAAACATGGTTTAACATGGTTTAACATGGTTTAACATGGTTTAACATGGTTTAACATGGTTTAACATGGTTTAACATGGTTTAAACATGGTTAAACATGGTTTAACATGGTTTAACATGGTTTAACATGGTTTAACATGGTTTAACATGGTTTAACATGGTTTAACATGGTTTAACATGGTTTAACATGGTTTAACATGGTTTAACATGGTTTAACATGGTTTAAACATGGTTTAAACATGGTTTAAACATGGTTTAAACATGGTTTAACATGGTTTAACATGGTTTAACATGGTTTAACATGGTTTAACATGGTTTAACATGGTTTAACATGGTTTAACATGGTTCAACATGGTTTAACATGGTTTAACGTGGTTTAACATGGTTTAACATGGTTTAACATGGTTTAACATGGTTTAACATGGTTCAACATTGTTTAACATGGTTTAACGTGGTTTAACATGGTTTAACATGGTTTAACGTGGTTTAACATGGTTCAACATGGTTTAACATGGTTTAACGTGGTTTAACATGGTTCAACATGGTTTAACATGGTTTAACATGGTTCGAACGGGTGGTAAGCATGGTTAACGTGGTGTTAGAAGGGTCTTAACGGTTCACATGGTTCAACATGGTTTAACATGGTTTAACATGGTTTAACGTGGTTTAACATGGTTCAACATGGTTTAACATGGTTTAACGTGGTTTAGCATGGTTTAACATGGTTTGACATGGTTTAACATCGTTTAACATGGTCTAGCATGGTTTAACATGGTTTAACATCGTTTAACATGGTCTAGCATGGTTTAACATGGTCTAGCATGGTTTAACATGGTTTAACATGGTTCAACATGGTTTAGCATGGTTTAACGTGGTTTAACATGGTTTAGCATGGTTTAACGTGGTTTAACATGGTTTGACATGGTTTAACATCGTTTAACATGGTCTAGCATGGTCTAGCATGGTTTAACATGGTTTAACCTGGTTTAGCATGGTTTAACATGGTTTAGCATGGTTTAGCATGGTTCAACATGGTCTGACATGGTTTGACATGGTTTGACATGGTTTAGCATGGTGTAACATGGTTCAGCATGGTTCAGCATGGTTCAGCATGGTTCAGCATGGTTTAGCATGGTTCAGCATGGTTCAGCATGGTTTGGCATGGTTTGGCATGGTTTAGCATGGTTCAGCATGGTTTAGCATGGTTCAACATGGTCTGACATGGTTTGACATGGTTTGACATGGTTTAGCATGGTGTAACATGGTTCAGCATGGTTCAGCATGGTTCAGCATGGTTCAGCATGGTTCAGCATGGTTCAGCATGGTTTAGCATGGTTTAGCATGGTTCAGCATTGTTCAGCATGGTTTGGCATGGTTTGGCATGGTTTAGCATGGTTCAGCATGGTTCAGCATGGTTCAGCATGGTTCAGCATGGTTCAGCATGGTTTAACATGGTTTAACATGATTTAACATGGTTTAACATGTTTAACATGGTTTCACTATTAAAATATGTCCTACTGGGTTATTTGATCATACATCCCATGGTACTTTCTGGCATGCGGCTGATACGGCGCCCTTGGAAGGGTTGCCAATTTTGAGATGTGCCATTTACGATCCCTTGGAAGGGTTGCAAATTTCAAAAATGAGGCTTGCGGAAATGGTGGTATAGGATTTGATTTTTTTGAGTTTTTAACATGCTGCACATGCTGTCGGATGATCATCAGGAGGGGTGGGGGTGGGGAGTGGGGGGGGCGTATTAACGTCCCTGACGAGCACTTCCTTTACGTTACGGAAGATGCAAGCGTTGCGCATGCTGTCAGTTGTGTCAAAGATTGTCCCCACAAAAGGTTCAAGTTGGCCCAAGTCAACCACAAACAAAATATCTTTACTAAGACTAAGACTTATCATTTTCGAGGTCGTTTGTGGGATAAATCCTATAGAACCATTGTTGCTGGTACTCAGCAAATGGATGGAACATGGAAACACTTGAAAAAATGGCGACCTCCGTCGATGCTCCACAAAAAAATGCACAAAAAAAGGCACACTTGGGCCTACAGCTGGACATGGCGTCACGACGCTGCCTTGTTGCAGACTGTGGCTTCTGCGTTGCCACAAGCGCTCTGGCACCGCTAGCGTCGAGAAGAAGAAAAAACTGGAAGAGTGAATGTCGCCCTGATATGATTCGGATGATTGAAAATCATAAATTTCTAATGTTTTCTTTTGGACCCTTGAAGAGCAAAATCGAGTCACCGCGCAGGCGAAACGCAAATTTTCACTCTTGAGTCACACGCCTGCCAATCGAAATGAATGTCCATGTTGCAAACATTTTTTGACGACTCCTGCAAATACCAACATTTTTTTCTTACCCTCAAAAATCAGAATTTCAAATTTGTCACCCTTACAAGGGCGCCGAGTCAGCCGGTTGCCTTAGTTTCTGGCTGTACTTTAAAGACAGCTGAGAAACTCGATTAATTTCGAACCAATACCATTTGACGAGGCCACACCCTGATGGCGATCTGTAGGCCAGATCTATAGTAACCCCCAAGAAGATAGACACGTGATTTTGTAATTTCTCACCATTTTTAGTAGGGCGATACTTCTCTATCTTTTTGGGGCACTCTAAAACCATCCAACGGTTGTCCGCCTTTTAAAAAAGGGTTTATTTCTCCAGCTGGGTGGGTCGCCAATGCAGCGATTTTGCCCAGTGCCCTGAAATATGAGGGTTTTTCATCATGTTCCCTCAAAAGGTAAGATATATGGAGGTCAACCCCCGTTTGGAGGTCAACAGCCTTCATCTTGCACTGATGAAATTGTACATTGTTTTTTCCTGCTTGATGAAATCAGAGTAGTATTTCTGTGTCCGCAGAAACCCTGCGACTGGTACCCCAAATTTGCCAAACCAGGTGCTTCTCAGCAAGAGCCCTTGGACTCAATCTGGGAGCATTATGGAGCGGCCGTGGCATACATGTGGCCAAACTTTCGACTGAACAAGTCCCAGTCGTCGATTGGACCTTGGTATCTCTCTATGTGTGCATCATATTCATATTGGACCTTGGTATCTCTCTAATCGTTTGTATATCTAAGAAGATGACCATTCCACGTTCCACTGGTGAGTCACCATGGTGCACGGTTGCAGTGCCATGATTTCACGTTTTCAGATCTGCGATCTGCCGGATGGTTGTGAAGGAATGCTTAACTATCTGGTGGTTAAGTGGTTAAGGAGACAGGGAACTGAGGAGTTACTATCAGAGTTTCACCAGAACATGATAGAATCTCAATTGTTGAAGCACAAGCTTGTAGGATTTCGCCAGGGGATGCAAATACAGTGCTTACCAGTTGTATCTACCAGTTGTATCTACCAGTTGTATCAGTTGTATCACCTGCGGTCTTTTTTTGCGGTCCCATTTGTGGCTGTCAAGATTCTCTCCTCAAAAGTTGATACTCGCCAATTGTAACTCCAACCCACCATGCCAGTGACGAGAACTGCCCAGGGCCCGAGATACTTCACATCGCAGCACATTGCGCTCAACCGGAAGACGAAGGCGACGAGTTGGTTCCAACTGGATCTGGACAAACTATGAAGAGCTTCAAATCACCCCCATTCTTAGGATATTACAATATAGGTTATATCAATATCACCACCTATAGAATCTATAGCCATAAATATGGCATATCTATTGGTTATCACCATCTACTCTTACAACTCATCACAATTTCACCACCAATATATATATATATATATGTCACCAATTATTGGTTCTATAACCTCAAAAAGCATGGCTACCCTATTGGTTATTCATACCGTGGTTATTGAGGTTACATCACCTCCATGGTTACTGGTTACCATGGTTACCATGGTTACCATGAGATTGTTAGTTCTATCACCATTCCCAATGGAGAGATTTGGGGGAATCATCATCTCATTACAATTATTGCTTAATGAATCACCATCTATAACCATTATATGCATATATATATACATATGTATATATATAAAACATGGCATATCTATTGGTGGATCCCCCATCTATTCTTATCATCTCATCCCCACGCCGCAGATGGCCCCGCGTCCGTCAGCGCCGTGGTGCTGGAGGGCAGCAACGGCGGTTTGCACATGCTGAGCGCCGACGAGCAGCTGGAGCTGGGCTGGTGCCGCGACGAACGATGGGACTGAACCGACATGGGCATATATAGTTATATATGGTTATATATGGTGATTAATGGTTATATATGGTGATTAATGGTAATATATGGTGATTAATGGTTATATATGGTGATTAATGGTTATATATGGTGATTGATGGTGATTAATGGTTGTTAATGGTTATATATGGTGATTAATGGTTATATATGGTGATTGATGGTTATATATGGTTATATATATGGTGATTAATGGTTATTAATGGTTATATATGGTTATTAATGGTTATATATGGTTATTAATGGTTATAAATGGTGATTAATGGTTATATATGGTGATGAATGGTTATATATGGTGATTAATGATTATTAATGGTTATTAATGGTTATATATGGTGATTAATGGTTATATATGGTGATTAATGGTTATATATGGTGATTAATGGTGATTGATGGTTATGAATGGTTATTAATGGTTATTAATGTTTATTAGTGATTATTTATGGTTATAAATGTTTATATATGGTTATTAAGGGTTATATATGGTAATTAATGGTTATTAATGGTTATATATGGTGATTTATGGTTATATATAGTTATATATAGTTATATATGGTTATTAATGGTTATTAATGGTTATATATGGTGATTAATGGCTATATATGGTGATTAATGGTTATTAATGGTTATGAATGATATATATGGTGATCAATGGTTGTATATGGTGATCAATGGTTGTATATGGTGATGAATGGTTATATATGGTGATAAATGGTTATTAATGGTTATATATGGTGATTGATGGTTATATATGGTTATATATATGGTGATTAATGGTTATTAATGGTTATTAATGGTTATATATGGTGATTTATGGTTATATATAGTTATATATAGTTATATATGGTTATTAATGGTTATTAATGGTTATTAATGTTTATATATGGTGATTAATGGTTATATATGGTGATTAATGGTGATTAATGGTTATTAATGGTTATTAATGCTTATTAATGGTTATATATGGTTATTAATGGTTATACATGGTGATTAATGGTTATATATGGTTATTAATGGTTATATATGGTTATAAAAGTTTATATATGGTTATTAAGGGTTATATATGGTAATTAATGGTTATTAATGGTTATATATGGTTATTAATGGTTATAAATGATGATTAATGGTTATATATGGTGATTAATGGTTGTATATGGTGATCAATGGTTGTATATGGTGATTAATGGTTATATATGGTTATTAATGGTTATATATGGTGATTAATGGTTATATATGGTTATTAATGGTTATATATGGTGATTAATGGTTATTAATGGTTACATATGGTTATTAATGGTTATATATGGTAATTAATGTTTACTAATGGTTGTTAATGGTGATGACTATTAATGTGGCTAAAACAATGCCATAAACCATCCCCCAGTCATCACCATTCTTACAGGTCGGATTTCAACCGTTCCCAAATGGATGGTTTATTATTGTTTTACCAACGTTAATCAACAAACTATAAACCATGGTAAAATTGCGGATGGTTTACTATTGCTTTACTAAAATGAATCTAACTGTTGTTGTATATCCATTCAAAACGGTTTGATATACTATTCATGATCATCTAAATCATCTACCGCTGGGTTGATGAATGAATCGGGGAATCCTCTAGCAACCAACCAACCAGTGGGAAAGTGGGACATCTATGTGTTGCGGTTTATGAAATGGGGGATTCAAACAGGAAATCATTGATGTAATGGGGATATACTAGGGATAGAATGGGGACAGTGGGATCAAGAAAAGGGTATTCTATAACCACTTGGGAAATCAGGAGGACTCAACCATCATTCCTTGGGAAATCAGGAGTAGCAGATGTGGATTTTCGCATTTTTTTGGGGATTTTTGGGGAGTTGTCATGACATAACTGGGGTCACCAACTTGAGATCTTTCGCATCACCGTCCATCCTGTAGGGAATCCAGCTGTGTCATGGGGCCGGCCGGGTCAGACGCGCCTCGAGGTGGGACGGAATCCAGCTGCTGGTCTTCTTGGCATGTGGCTCGCAAAGCCTGGTGGAGAGGCTGGAGATCTTCGCCCATTCAATCCACAATTGACATATGAAATCCCCAGATCGATTGATATTGGATCAATCTTAAACCATATTGAATCCAAATTCAATCCGCACGGAAACATATCAATTTGATATCTTGATATTTTTCATGTTTTCCCCAGTGTTTTCTCTATTTCCGTGACCGAAATTTAAAGGCTGATCCAGCAGCGCGGGCTGCGGCGCGCCGTATGCTGCAATGCGGTGGTCCTGGACGCAGCATCCCACGTTTTTTGCAGGACCGGCTTGGCAGGGATGGAGTCAATTACCCTCTGGTTATGACTAACATAGCTATTGAAAACGGCAATTTATAGTGGATTTACCCATTGAAAATGGTGATTTTCCATAGTTACGTTACGTTAGTTTACCAGAGGGATCCAGAGGGTAGATGATTAGTTTGCCATTTGATAGTGGATTTATATAATAGACTCATATGCAGATATGGTTTGAGTGGAGGTATTTCATGACATTTCATGGTTTCATGGGGGGTTTACCGGGTTTACCACCATGTTTAAGAGGTAAACCATCGAACAAAACGGACAATATTCCACAATCATGTTAGTTTAGGAAAGGGTATTAGTATTTGAACATAAGAAAACATACGGGTTATACAAACCTATATGGGGATTTTTGTTTGGATGCAAACTGGTGCCCTTAAACGTTATGTTTGTGGGCTTATAAACTGACCCAATTGTAGTTGTAATCACCATAATCATCATAACCCTAATTATAAACCGACATGGCAACAATGGAATTGAGCAGTGTTCAAAACCATCGTTGGTTGATAATTAGTTTGGGGTTTCAACCGAAATCTAGGGGGTTTTAAGCATTTAGTTGATACACGGTGGTGGGTTGATTAGTTCGGGAATCATGTTGCCCTTTATATTGGGGATTATCAACTCCATTCAGGAAATCTCAGTAAGGGACCACAAGTCACGAATAGATCCTGTGGTGTTTCATGTTGGGGCGATGGGATGTAGTATCGGCAATATTTAACATTCGCAATATATGGGCCGTATAATGTGATATAAGTGGTTAACACCATAAATGGAATGTTACGTGGAAGGTGTTCTTAGACATGCACAGTTGATAGACATTGCCAGTAATATTGGTTGTAACTTATCGTAATACTGTTTGCACATGATTGATATTGGTAGCAATATTGTAGACAGTGGCATATGCTGGCTATAATTTTTGCAAATTGCACAGAATAAGGATACATACATACATACATACATACATACATACCTACATACATACATAGATACATACATACATACATCCATACATACATACATACATACATACATAGATAGATACATAGATACATAGATACATAGATACATAGATACATAGATACATAGATACATAGATACATAGATACATAGATACATAGATACATAGATACATAGATCATAGATACATCGATACATACTACATACATAATACATAATGCATAGATACATGATACATAGATACATAGATACATAGATACATAGATACATACATACATAGATACATATATACATCCATCATCCATACTCCATACATCCATACATCCATACATCCATGCATGCATGCATGCATTCATACATTCATACATTCATACATTCATACATTCATACATTCATACATTCATACATTCATACATACATACATACATACATACTGGTAATGGATAGTTTTCAGGATATATAATGGATATGATATACATATGAAGTTTGACCCCTTCCAACGGGGACGGCAAACCCATCAACAATGGAGATACGGATATTGCACTGACCGATGGGGTAAATTTCCAGATGATTCTCTGATAGGATATGACATTTCTTGGGACTTTCAGGTGAGTATGACAAGATCACCCACAAAACGTGGGTATGTATGTAACCAACAAAACATAGCGGTGCAACTAACAGAGATTTGCGCAAATCATGAGTTTGTCCAGACATGGGAATTGAATGGCTATTTCATCAGCCAACATGGGTATTTAAATGGGCTTGATCAACAGAAACGAGGATAAACTGAGCAGCACATCAGTTCTTTTCCATGTGTTTTTTGCTTAGCCTTTGGTAATCAAACATGGCAATGGAAAATCCCTTAATTTATAGACGTTTATATATACATATATACACATCCCCATTGAAACCTCCATGTAGGATCTTCACTTGCCATGTTTGATTACATCCACCTCAGCTGTAAAATAACCCAGCGATATGCATGGTGTGCGATTCTTCGAAAGGTGATACATTCTGATTACTTGATTCCCAAATCTCACCCATGTGGATTATTGCGAACCTTGGCCGACCAAGCCTCGTGCTGGTCGATATGATGGGGTAAACCATCAATTTATGGCTTCAAATTTACTTTGGGATTGATTCTGCTTGGGTGGAACTGCGTCTCATTTTTCTATCCATCAAAAAGGACTCACGATCATAACGCACTGGGTGGGTTCATCTCATCAATGGGGTGGATCCAGAAGTATTTCCCCACATCACTTGATGTTTGATGGTTGAATTCCTGCTGATGGTTAAAATCCATGGTTGAGATTCAGATTTTGATGGTGAAGCCCGTGTTTTTTGATTTGCAACACACCACCTACCACTGTGGCTCACCATGATCTACCCCTAAGATTATTATCCTTAAATACAATATAGTCAAATGTTAATTTTGCTGGCCCTAAAATACCAAGAATGACAGCTTTGTATAATTACAAAAATAACCCTCAGCAAATCTACAATAAGATGGTTTAGTGGTGCTTAATGTACAATCAAATGTTTTTTGAACAAACATTGTGGTAAAGTAACATACATTTCCTAGTAAATATCGAAAATAGCTATGAAACACCAGCAGGTTGATTGGAACCATGCTTCATTGGGACATCAGGGTAAATCATCTTAAATCCCCATTAAATCACGATTGACACCACGATATATCATAGCTGGTTAATAGTATATAAAGTTCCATAACTTCTACATATATTATCAATCACATATCAGAGTTATACATCATATTGTATGGCTAAATCCCATGTGGTACCATTAAAACCCCATTAAAATCACCATTAACCCCACACATTAACCCCACATTGGACCTCCCAGACTTCAGCCCCTCTCCGAACCGGGACGGTCAGGGCATTCTACCGAGCCCTTGGAGCTGGACAGGCGAAGGATTTCGGGAAAGCCATGATAGGAAGCAGCAGGAAAAAGACACGCCACATTCAAAACATGGATTGTTATGATGATTGATGATGATTGATGATGACGATTGATGATGATGATGATGATTGATGATGATGATTGATGATGATTGATGATGATGATGATGATGATGATGATGATGATGATGATGATGATGATGATGATGATCATGATGATGATGATGATGATTGATGATGATGATTGATGATGATTGATGATGATGATGATGATGGTGATGATTGACGGTGATGATTGATGATGATTGAGATGATGATGATGATGATGATGATAATGATGATTGATGATGATGATGATGATGATGATTGATGATGATGATGATTGATGATGATGATGATGATGATTGATGATGATTGATGATGATTGATGATGATTGATGATGATGATTGATGATGATTGATGATGATTGATGATGATGATTGATGATGATTGATGATGATGATTGATGATGATGATGATTGATGATGATGATTGATGATGATTGATGATGATGATGATGACGATTGATGATGATGATGATGATTGATGATGATGATTGATGATGATTGATGATGATGATTGATGATGATGATGATTGATGATGATGATGATGATTGATGATGATGATGATTGATGATGATGATGATTGATGATGATGATGATTGATGATGATGATGATTGATGGTGATGATGATGATTGATGATGATGATTGATGATGATGATGATTGATGATTGATGATGATGATGATTGATGATGATGATTGATGATGATGATTGATGATGATGATTGATGATGATGATGATTGATGATGATGATGATGATTGATGATGATGATGATGATTGATGATGATGATGATTGATGATGATGATGATGGTTGATGATGATGATGATTGATGATTGATGATGATGATTGATGGTGATGATGATGATGATTGATGATGATGATTGATGATAATGATGATTGATGATGATGATGATTGATGATGTTGATGATGATTGATGATGATGATGATTGATGATGATGATAATTGATGATGATGATTGATGATGATGATGATTGATGATGATGATGATGATGATTGATGATGATGATGATTGATGATGATGATGATGATTGATGATGATGATTGATGATGATGATGATTGATGATGATGATGATTGATGATGATGATGATTGATGATGATGATGATGATTGATGATGATGATGATTGATGATGATGATGATTGATGATGATGATGATTGATGGTGATGATGATGATTGATGATGATGATTGATGATGATGATGATTGATGATTGATGATGATGATGATTGATGATGATGATTGATGATGATGATTGATGATGATGATGATGATTGATGATGATGATTGATGATGATGATGATGATTGATGATGATGACGAGGATGATGATGATGATGACGAGGATGAGGATGAAGATGATGATGAGTGATGATGATGATGATGACGAGGATGATGATGATTGATGATGATGATGATGATGATGATGAGGATGATGATGATGATGATGACGAGGATGATGATGATGATGATTGATGATTGATGATGATGATGATGACGACGAGGATGATGATGATGATGACGAGGATGATGATGATGATGATGATTGATGATGGATGATGATGATGATGATGATGATGATGATGACGAGGATGATGATGATGATGATTGATGATGACGAGGATGATGATGATGATGATGATGATGACGAGGATGATGATGATGATGATGACGAGGATGATGATGATGATGATTGATGATGACGAGGATGATGATGATGATGATGATGACGAGGATGATGATGATGATGATGATGATGATGACGAGGATGATGATGATGATGATGATGACGAGGATGATGATGATGATGATGATGATGATTGATGATTAATGATTGATGATTGATGATGATGATGATGATGATTGATGATTAATGATTGATGATTGATGATGATGATGATGATGATGATTGATGATTGATGATGATGATGATGACGAGGATGATGATGATGATGACGAGGATGATGATGATGATGACGATTATCATTGTATATCACTGTAATTATTGGTAGTGTTTTTATATACTTGTTCCTGGATGTTATGCATTGAATGTAGATATATATAATTATATATATATAAATGCACATATTTCTTTTCGGAAAGTAGATCTATCCAACAAAGATGTATCCGACAAAAAGGGAACACAAGTCAACATTCAAAAAGAACGCCCTCTTCCGACCCCTTGGGGAAATTCATCGTGACCTCGGGGCGGACTTCACCAGAAGTTTCATGCTTAAATCCACTTGTGCAGAAGAACCAGTTTCAGGCTGAGAAGAATCACACAGGTCCAATTATGTGTGTATATATATACATATGTTTAGATGCTACCTAATAATATGCAGATGATAGCTCTACACTGATTTGTCAGATTGAGCTACAAAACATGGCTGAGGCGGGGGGATAATCCATGATGAACAAATGAAGGGTCTTATTTTCTGGGAACATCTTCCAATGTACATGACTTTCCCCAACCAAAACCATCGTTGTTGAAGGAGGTCCCCTTTTTTTCAGTCACCATAATTTATAGATGATGTTTCTTTCATTTTCCCAACAAAAATCCGTTCATATCCCATCTATTATTCACCTTCAGGTTCCCTTATCCCTATTCAACCTCCATTTTATAGGGTATTTTCCCATTTATTCCACCGTGAACAGGCGATTTTCCCCTCCATTTATAGGCTTTGACGCCATGACGCCTCCTGAATCGTTCGGCCAGGCGTTAAGGCCGAGCTTTGAGGCAGGCCAGGCGGCCATTCGCACCAGCAAGGCCTTCGAGGGCGAGGCCGCGGCGGTGGAAGGTTGAGGTGATATATATATATATACATATACGTACATGTATGTGTATATATGTACAGATGTTGATATATATATATATATACACATATTTAAAGATTGCAGGTGTCAAACAGTATCCATGCGAAGGACATGGGGATGATCACTCGCGAAAATGGTGGATTCCACCAACCAAGACGTGGAATCTTTTCAAAGAAAGATAGGATAAGGGATTTGCCCACAAGAAATGGAGCAGTTGTGAGAAAAGCCAATGGGGATGAGCAGGCATGAAGGAGATATGACCTCTGAGCTGCTAGATAGATGGGTTTATCAGAAAGCAGGGTGCCCTAAATCCAGTGGTGTATCATAAATGTCCCTCTAAAAGATATCAAAACAACAATCTAGAACACATTTTTTTTGGAGAATACCCAATTTTCAGACACAACCACATACTTGCAAGTTACACTTTTGTTGTGCAGGAACTCACTATTTACAACCTTTCCGCTGTGTTTTGTTCATTCCACCAGTCAGATTAAAGCTCCAACCATTGGCAACCAGTACTATCCAAAATCAGGGTTCTGTATTTTCGCGAGTGTCAAACCCCTATTAATGTATGCCATGTTGTTTGATGGTGTAGACGCACCATGTTCTTTTTTAGTTCCAACCATTCAATGGGAATTTCAGGACCCTAAAATTGAGGTACTGTACCATATAAGGCCATATTTTGTGGAGATATTCCCTTACATAGGCCTTATATAGGCCTTATATATGGTAGGTACCTCCAATTTAGGTTCCTGAAATGGCCATTGAACCATCTAATTCTCGCAGACTTGGATAACCAGCAGCTACAAACTCTAGAAAGTTGAGAACTGGAGATCCACGTTGAATACCTTGAAGCCATGGGTTGTTTTCCCCATGGTTTCCTGATGGTTTTCCGATGGTTTTCCTAAGCCAACCAGCTGAGAGGCCCAGAAGTTCGTCTTGCTTTGCGCCTCTGATGGCCCATGGCCACTCCGCGAGGTGAGATCGATGGCTGTGGCGATTCGCCGGCAACGTTATTAGTATCTACAAATAAACAATAATAAACATATAATTAGTATCTACTATATTATATGTATATGTATATGTATATGTATATGTATATGTATATGTATATGTATATGTATATGTATATGTATATGTATATATCTGTATATTCATATCTGAACAATTTTAGGACTGTCGGACTGTTCATGGACTCAGTATGCACGCAGTTTTGATGCCCAAACAGTCATTGAACCGTTTCATCTTGTGCGAACATATTTTCTTTGCCATGGTTTCCTTCTCCATCTTTGTGCTTTTGGTGGCGGCGCAAGCTGAGCATCCCGACCAGTCGTGCTTGGTGCAAAAGCCACCCGAGCGGAAACCGAAGCTACTTGCAGTCGAGTCAGGACCAATTTTGAAGTTATCACCGATCAAGATTTTCAAGCCCCTGGCGAAAGCACCGGATTCCCACAGGGATTTCTTGACCGTTGCAATTCACTTTGCCAAAGTTCCGAATTCTTCGATACTCTTTATGCTTCCACCTTGAGTAGCTGGCTGTGCATTTGCTGTGCTGTTGGGACTCGTGTGTTGGATTCCCCCGGTCCCGGGCATGGTGTTTGGGAAGTGGTCCCAGAAAGCCACGTGGACGGAGATCCGCACATCGAGACCCTGGATGGCAAACGCTACACATTGCTCAGCCAGGGCACCTTCTCCCTTTGGCATTTTTCTGGGTGGAGGCAGACTCTGCCTCCACCCCAGAAAAGTGCCAAAGGGAATGGAAAGGTGAGGTGAAGAAAGTCGATTGGGAAGCCTTTACGCACTACTCAGGGCCTGACTCAGGGCACCAAGCCTTCACGAAGGGCTTACTTCTTGTCGACAACTCCTGTGGGTCACAACGTCAAGCGTTGGAAATCACAGCCCGTGACTGTCAATGGAGAGGACGGAAAGGAAACGAGTGGATTGCAGTCCAAAACGGGGAAGTGCTTTCAACTCTTGATGGGAAAGACTATCTGAGCGGTTTCATTGTGGCAAGGAAGGATGGGCCCAAGGGCCACAACCATGTACGTTTGAACATGCAGACGAAAGATGGCCCAAGAGACATCGCGGTGCCAAGCCTCAGTTGTAGGCCACAGCATCACATCAATCTCCAGATGGTCATGACTCGAAGGTGGGGGGCTGAAAAAAGCGTGGCGACCAACTTCTCTAAGCAAATCGACTGGTTGATCGGTTCCACCCTTGTTTTCATATTGTAGAGCTTCGCGCACCGGCGATGCCATAAGGGCTATGTATAGTAGTGTGAGCGTGGGTGTTGTTCATGTGCTCTGTGCGTGCGCGCAGGTGCAGAGCACAGTGTGATGTTCTTGTCATACCGCAGCTTGTAACCATCTTACCACACATCTTTTTGTCGCATTTTTGTGCTTGTTCTTCTTCTTCTTCTTCTTCTTCTTATTGTTCTTCTTCTTGTTCTTCTTCTTCTTCTTGTTGTTGTTGTTGTTGTTGCTGCTGCTGCTGCAGCACAGCTTATTTTCGCATTTTTGTGGACCCCTAAAGATCGTCAAATAGGTGGTGTTTTTGCATTTTTTGACACTCTCGAAGCAAAAACACTATGAATACTGATGTTTTTTGCGCTTCGGACGCCCAAAACCAAGGTATTTACGATGTTTTTTGCCTCTGGTAGCAAAAATCACGGTATTTACAGTGTTTTTGTCCCCGCACCTAGCAAAAACACTGGTATTTACGCAGTTTTCTCCATGTTGCAAGATGTAGTTCTCTATGCAAAAAGGACAACACCACTGTATTTTACGATGTTTTTGCTTCCCGAACGCAGCAAAACATCGTCAAGAAATGGCTCAAAAACGGTCCCAAATCGACTTCCAAAAGCATCTTATAATTTTAGCATCTTTCTTCCCGGCCCCGGACCCCCAAAAACGACACGTTTTGGCGGTTGTGGTTGGTGCTTGTCTTTTGGCGGTCTGGCGCTTCTGCCCACCCGGGCATGTTCGTTTTTTCCCTTGGGTGGTTGTGTGTTGGTGTTCGTCTTTTGGCGCTTTGGGGCTTCTGCCCGCTTTGGGGTGTTTCTCTTCCCTTTGGTGGTTGTGGTTGGTGTTGTCTTTTGGCGCGCTGGAGCTTCAGCCTGCTTTGCTTTGTTTCTCTTCCCTTTTGCTTGCTGTGATTGGCATTTCCTTTGGTGCTCCTTGTTGGTTTCGTTTGACTAGGGGGCCACCAGGCCTGTCTCTCTGGCTGAAAATCAGGTTGACATGTGCTGGGGGGTCCAGCCTGCTGATTGCATTGATGATTCGTATCTAGTTTTTCCTGAATGCGGAGCAAGGGTTCCCGTTTCACTCTGGCGGTTTGGGGGTTAAGGGTGTGTTGTGTTCGCCAGACGCCGTTCGCAACCGTCCGCAACCGTTCGCAACCGTTCACAAACGTCCGCAACCGTTCGCAACCTCTCGCGTGAGGTCGCTATGGCCATGCCTCTGGTTTCAATAGCTTCGTTTCGCGTAGGCGTGGCACTTCGTGGCATTCCAACATGTGTCACAACATGTCGAAAGTCGTTTTGTGTGACACGCGCAATATTTTTTGCGATGATTTGAGAAGATGAGTTGCATGTTTCGTGGCAGTCGCAGCACTTTGGTGACCTCCATGGTCATTTTGCGTGGCAGGCGCAGCACTTCAGACGTGTCGTGTTGCGTGTTTTTTGCGAATCGCGCATTGTCAGGGCTGCGTCAAGTGGTGACAACGTACAAATTCCGTGGCAGGCATGGCATTTTGTGACATGTGATGAAAATTGACGGAAGCTTCGCACGAAACATCGGTTTTGACGTCGTAGATTTTGGGGTTCATGAGACAACTTGTAGGAAATGTCGATTTTGAAGTAGCAAAGTGTGAAAATTGGTGGAAGTCTTTCAATAAACGCTCGCTTTGAGCCTTTACACTTTACACTCGACACTTTGCACTTTACACTTTAAACTTTGCACTCCACACTCTACACTTTACATGCGCTTTACACACTGCACTTTACTTTACACACTGCACTTTACACTCCACACTCCACACTCCACACTTTACACTCCACACTCTGCACTTTGCACTCCACAGTTTGCACTTTACACTCCGCACGCTACACTTGACATTTTACACTCTTCACTTTGCACTCAACGCTCTACACTTCACACTTTCCACCCCACACTTTACACTTTACACTCCACAATTCCCACTTCACACTCTACACACTACATTCCCGACTCAACACTCCACTTTTTTCACGCTCCACACTTTGCAATCCACCCCCTTCCACATTCATCAGTCTACAGTGCACTGGTATGGTAACAGGGGAAAAATGTACAAGACTGTTCAAATATACAATTTGTTTCACACCAGCCCAACCTAAGTAAGACTCAAAGTTCCTCTCTTACACCAGGCATCTTGAGCCAGATCTTGAGACTTGAACCAAATATTTGGCACAAACCTCGCGCATGTAGAGCGGAGGAAAAGTGCCTCTAAAGTTTCGCACACCACAACCAGCCAACCAACCAACCAGCCATATATGTACATCTGGATATGTATATCTGAACAATATTGAACCTGTAGAATATTAGGATTCATACCGCAAAAACGGTGACTTTCTTAACGTAAAACCACAACAAAAATATGCTGTCACCAAACTTCCACCAAGACTGGACCGCAAAAATGAGCATGAGTTTCAGCTCCGCCAATGGGGATTCTTCCATGGCGGATCATCGCAGAACTTGACATAAGGTGCCGATGATTCTCTTAAACGTAACAGAGATAGCTACGAATTGTCAACTTTCAATGTTCGATTGTAGCAAGGTGCCCGCAATACTTTGACATCTTGAACCACAATTTTTGATCGACGATGCTATAGTTGGATCTCCATTGTTTTGCGATGTATTTAAATGGTTTTGTACCGCCCATTTATGGTTATAACGAAGTATAAAGTACGGTTTACCATTCCTATCAGGATGAATGTCACATGAATCCTGCTAAGATTTTTTTTCGGGGACGAAACAAAACAGTTATATGGACATAACAATAGAATTATATGTAGACATGGGCGCGAACACTATATGCATATTTGTTTGTTTTATTTTCTTATCGGTATATTGTATATTACATTTGTACAGTTTTAATAGTAAACATGCATCACTGTGATGAAACTGTGACGCTTGGACCCAACGGTCCCAGCCAGGCCTTGTCCTTGCCGCCGACTCTGTGGGGGTCCTAGGCTACTAGGGGTTTCGGTGCAGGCGATGGTCTGAACCGTTAGCAGAACCAATACAATTGATATACATATGATATATATATATATATGCAATTATATATATATAGAGATATAGATACACGCACACACACATATATATATATACATATACGCATGCAAATATTGATATATTTTTATTTTTATCGATGTAATTTATATAATTTGATAGTATGGTATGAATCAATATAAATCGATATATTGTCAATATAGATAGGCATAAGTCTAGACACATGGAATAGTCCACTAGGGGTTAATTCTTGAACAGCTCTCGCGACATGGTTTTTGGTATCCTGCCTGCTTTGCAGGGTCAGCAATGTACCAATGGGATCCCATGGGTGGATGACGCATGCACGGACGTCCTTCGTGATGTAAAATGTTTTTTTTTTTTAAAGTAAAATTTTAGTCAACATCTGCAATAGTGTCTAGGAGTTTCGGAGACTGGACATTGTACTGTAGTACAGTATATGGGCATGGCCCAGGTGGCCCCATTGGCCCCGCGTGGAAGATTACCTGGGCCCAAACGCTCAGTGGCGGGCGTGCTTGGAGGATCATCGGAATTCGCCGGTGCTGTCAGTATACACTGATACAACAAACTTAGGAAGCAAACAAGTCGGATGTGATGGGATGCATAATATACTCTATATACTTTACAGAATACACATACACATTTACATGGACTAACAAAGTAAGTTAGCAACTGAATAGGAACATAGCCAGAACATCTTGGCATTTATTTGTCTATGGGAGATATTTCCCACACATTTCAGGACACCGCCAATACCAACACCAACTAAGGGTGAATCTTCAACATCTATCATTGGTGGGGTTAGTCTTAGGGGGCCTTGGTTGAATCCCCATGAAAAGTAAGGACTTGCCACACGGGCGCGCCTGAAATCGACCACGACGTTGGGAGTAGAGAAACTAAGCTCCGGTAAGCAAACATTGGTATGGAAAATCCACCAATGTTTTTTTTCCTCCATTGGCACCTCTTAGGGATTTCCCATATTTTCATGTTTCATTGGCGAAGAATACAACACATCATAGTCTTTGACGAGCTCAGTGGATCTGCGAGATCTGTATGTCAGATTGTATCTCTACATACTGTATATATTATATATCATATATAGTTATACATAACATAGGTACATATAACATCGTGGATAACAATATCGTATATATTATATGCTATCGTGTAATCATCAATATACATAGCTAATTGATTCTATCATGATATTACACTATTATATACACATCATATGACTTTCCTCAATCGCACTATGATGCCTGCGAAGGTCAAGCGAAATCCTCCCTCGTTTGTGGAACAAATGACGATCGAAACCATTTTCGGACGAAGCCACTATGATATGCTCATTGTTGGTACCTGTATATACTCTCTAGGGAACACACGTATCCACTTTTTTTGTGGAAAATATTTTTTTTTGGATACGTTAGCTGCTGTGAACATAGGCTATGATAAATGCCCTATACTTGAGACATGTTAGTTGAAAATCCAGAATGGACATGTTAGTGGACAAGTTGTCCCCCCCTCTGGGGGTTCCCGGGAAACTGCCAGAAGACTACCGCCCCGGACGCCCCAGCATCTTTATTTCCAGACCCCAATAGGGCTCAAATCAAAGACCGCATTGATAACAAAACGGTGGAGAAAAAAGGGGTCCCAACTCCTTCCGGAAGAGCGCATCATAGATGATGCCCGTGGGTGGGCAGGAAGATTGGGGGTGCATTCCAAAAACCAGTTGCATTTACTAAGGGTTGGATGACTGGCCATGGAAAGCGTCCACCTAACGTGTCCGTGTTGTTCAGAGGATGTGGTTTTGAGATATGTGAGTGGTTATTGGCTGAATCTATCCCCCCAAAATAGCGAACATATCCCAGATCAGGGTCGAAATCCAAGGGCCCCAATTGCAGGAACTGAGACATGTTAGCTGTTTTTGGGTCAATGGTCCCCAAAAAAGTTGCAATGCATTCCCCAGGAAATCCAAGAAAACGCCGGTACAGAGTGGACATGTTAGTTGATACCTGAAACGGTAGCCCGAGACACGTATCCACTTTTTTGTGGAAAAAAGTTTTTTTGGATACGTTAGCTGCTGTGAACATAGGCTATGATAAATGCCCTATACTAGAGACATGTTAGTTGAAAATCCAGAATGGACATGTTAGTGGAAAAGTTGTTCCCCCCTCTGGGGGTTCCCGGGAAACTGCCAGAAGACTACCGCCCCGGACGCCCCAGCATCCTTATTTCCAGACCCCAATAGGGCTCAAATCAAAGACTGCATTGAGAACAAAACGGTGGAGAAAAAAGGGGTCCCAACTCCTTCCGGAAGAGCGCATCATAGATGATGCCCGTGGGTGGGCAGGAAGATTGGGGGTGCATTCCAAAAACCATTTGCATTTACTAAGGGTTGGATGACTGGCCATGGAAAGCGTCCACCTAACGTGTCCGTGTTGTTCAGAGGATGTGGTTTTGAAATATGTGAGTGGTTATTGGCTGAATCTATCCCCCCAAAATAGCGAACATATCCCAGATCAGGGTCGAAATCCAAGGGCCCCAATTGCAGGAACTGAGACATGTTAGCTGTTTTTGGGTCAATGGCCCCAAAAAGGTGCAATACATTCCCCAGGAAATCCAGGAAAACGCCGGTACAGAGTGGACATGTTAGTTGATACCTGAAACGGTAGCCCGAGACACGTATCCACTTTTTTTGGTGTTTTTTTTGGATACGTTAGCTGCTGTGAACATAGGCTATGATAAATGCCCTATACTAGAGACATGTTAGTTGAAAATCCAGAATGGACATATTAGTGGAAAAATTGTCCCCCCCTCTGGGGGTTCCCGGGAATCTGCCAGAAGACTACCGCCCCGGACGCCCCAGCATCCTTATTTCCAGACCCCAATAGGGCTCAAATCAAAGACTGCATTGATAACAAAACGGTGGAGAAAAAAGTGGTCCCAACTCCTTCCGGAAGAGCGCATCATAGATGATGCTCGTGGGTGGGCAGGAAGATTGGGGGTGCATTCCAAAAACAAGTTGCATTTACTAAGGGTTGGATGACTAGCCATGGAAAGCGTCCACTTAACGTGTCCGTGTTGTTCAGAGGATGTGGTTTTGAGATATGTGAGTGGTTATTGGCTGAATCTATCCCCCCAAAATAGCGAACATATCCCAGATCAGGGTCGAAATCCAAGGGCCCCAATTGCAGGAACTGAGACATGTTAGCTGTTTTTTGGGTCAATGGTCCCCAAAAAAGTTGCAATGCATTCCCCAGGAAATCCAGGAAAACGCTGGTACAGAGTGGACATGTTAGTTGATACCTGAAACGGTAGCCCGAGACACGTATCCACTTTTTTTTGGTGTTTTTTTTGGATACGTTAGCTGCTGTGAACATAGGCTATGATAAATGCCCCACACTTGAGACATGTTAGTTGAAAGTCCAGAATGGACATGTTAGTGGAAAAGTTGTCACCCCCTCTGGGGTTCCCGGGAAACTGCCAGAAGACTACCGCCCCGGACGCCCCAGCATCTTTATTTCCAGACCCCAACAGGGCTCAAATCAAAGACTGCATTGATATCAAAACGGTGGAGAAAAAAGGGGTCCCAACTCCTTCCGGAAGAGCGCATCATAGATGATGCTCGGAGGTGGGCAGGAAGATTGGGGGTGCATTCCAAAAACAAGTTGCATTTACTACTCTCGTGAAATCTTACCTGTTGAAAGTTTTTTTATTTTTTATTTTTTTGCTATGTTAGTGTTTGGGTTTTGGGGCTGAGATTCAACTAACTTGGCGTTGGGAACGCATGGTGTGACATGGGCATTTTGGTGCTAACTTGGCGCGTGTGAAGCATCAAGTAGGTTCAATCGGGAACTGCTTTGTTAGCGTTCGTTTGTGCGCGCGTTCATCAGCCTTTCCACCAATATATGGTTCCAAAAACATTTAATCGTACTTCATAGTAGCAAGTAGCGAGATCGGCAAATCGACCAGGAGTTTTTTCCTTATTCAATCTATTATATAAACTTGTTGATTTTGAAGCTTTTTTGGGTCCAGTAAGGGTGATGATTATGATGTACTATTGGAGGTTTTGGGAACCCTGCGCAATTGCTATGTTAGTAGTCCTGTTGCCAAAGCTTTGGTTTTGGATTGAAAATCATGACTGGCACAAGTGTTTTTGGATGTCTTCCTGGGGCTCACCCTTACTGGGCCCAAAAAAGCTTCAAAATCAACAATTTTATATAATAGATTGAATAAGGAAAAAACTCCTGGTCGATGTTGCCAATCTCGCTACTTGCTGCCATGATGATTACGATGTACTATCGGAAGTTTGGGAACCCTGCGCAAATGCTATGTTAGTAGTCGCCTTGGCCCCACCTCCTTTCCGCCAACGCGCGCGCGCGTTAGCGGAAAACAACTCGGCCAGGCCCGGGGAAGACACAACGGGGAAGGAGTAGTCCTCGGGCCTGGCCGAGTTGTTTTCCGCTAACGCGCGCGCGCGTTGGCGGAAAGGTTGTGAGCCCAAGGCGACTACTAACATAGCATTTGCGCAGGGTTCCCAAACTTCCAATAGTACATCGTAATCATCATGGCAGCAAGTAGCCAGATTGGCAACTTTGACCAGGAGTTTTTTTCCTTATTCAATCGATTATATAAAATTGTTGATTTTGAAGCTTTTTTGGGCCCAGTAAGGGTGAGCCCCAGGAAGACATCCAAAAACAGTTGTGGTTTGATCTGGTCGGCTGGAGACTCAAAAGAGACACCTAACCTAGCAACCAGGGGTACTTTCATTCTAGATTGATTGATTGATGTGTTCGGTTTCCTGTTTTCTAAAACATGTTTTCCGTGGAGTTTGATGCTAACATAGCACTTTCCATTTGGTGGTTCCAAGCTGTGACAAGTCTCCAGACAGCTATGTTAGCTTATTCTGGTACATTTCTTTTACCCACTTCCTGGGGAATGCCAAACATTGGGAGGACGGAAACAGAGGCTATGTTAGCAGGTGTTGGCAGAAATCACCCAAATGATCACTTTCTCCAAATCCCCAGGGTTGACAACGTAGCCAGATGCTATGTTTGTGAGTTGGTGCCAGGGCTAAAAAAACGCTATGTTAGATTTCACCGGTGTAAGGGTTAGATGACTGGCCATGGAAAGCGTCCACCTAACGTGTCCGTGTTGTTCAGAGGATGTGGTTTTGAGATATGTGAGTGGTTATTGGCTGATCTATCCCCCAAAAATAGCTAACATATCCCAGATCAGGGTCGAAATCCAAGGGCCCCAAATGCAACTGGTTTTTGGAACCCCACATTGAAAAGGCCAATATTCAGTAGCTTGAGATATTGGAATCTCTTCGGGGAATGATTGCACTTACAAGACCCAATTTTTGTCAAAACACTGTTGTTTTCCCTGAACCCCAAAGTCATGGCCAGCATCCGAGATGAAGTGGCACAGGTGCTGCTCATTTGTTGTTCATTGTTTCCGAATTCCAACTTGCTAACATGTCCCAGTTTGGTACGAAAGAGCACGCACTGCACTTCCAATCCTTATTTCCAGACCGCATTGATAGCAAAACGAGCAGAAAAAAGAGCCCCAACTCCTCGGAAGAGCGCGTCATATATGAAGATTGGGGGTGTGTTCCAGAAACCAGTTGCATTTACTAAGGGTTACTGGCCATGGAAAACGTCCACCTAACGTGTCCGTGTTGTTCAGAGGATGTGATTTTGAGATATGTGAGTGGTTATTGGCTGAATCTATCCCCCAAAAATAGCTAACATATCCCAGATCAGGGTCGAAATCCAAGGGCCCCAATTGCAGGAACTGAGACATGTTAGCTGTTTTTGGGTCAATGTGTAAAAAGAAAGTTGCAATGCATTCCCCAGGAAAACGCCGGTATAGAGTGGACATGTTAGTTGATACCTGAAACGGTAGCCTGAGACACGTTTGTTCCCGGGAGTGTATACATGTATATTCCATGATATTCCATTATTTCCGCAAAATATGTATACATGGACCACATACACAAATATTCCCACGATTCGACCGCAACATACTTGTGAAGATTCTGAAAAATATAGCTCAACTTTGAGGTCGAAATTCTTATCTTCACATCTTTTAAGTTCTAAATTCTATGTCTGAAAACATAGACTTTGGCATGGATAAACTTTGAGGCTCCTACTGGACTCCTACCCAATGATATTGGAATTTACTACCCCCTTTTTAGACCAAGCTCACGCCCGTGACCTCGCTTCACTACCTCGAGGTCGCGAGAACTTCACTGTGTCTCTAGCGCCTCGGTTCTGTAACAAGAAACCCCGGGGTTGATGGGTGATTTTTGACTTATAACCAGGCGTATAACCATAGGATTTAGGAAAATTGACTTTTAACATCTTATAACTAGATAGTGTTGGATAGTGTTATAACCAAGCAAAGATTTATACATAGGCTTATAACATCTTATAACCAGGCAAATTGGATAGTGTTATCTAGGTGAGTGGTCTGTTTGGCAGATATATGTAGAGTTGGATGTGTGAACATAAACCAGTTCATGATGGGGGAAAAAAACATACCCAGCTAAAAATGGATTGACCTTTCCGGGGATCCATCTGAGTCAACTAAGCATCGCAAATCCCATATTGTTGATACACAGCACATATCTAAAAGTAGCTTTGTGATCAAACACTAATATGATATGAATGTTCATATTTTTCTACATACCGTCCTCGAAATGAACAGTTCGACCCTGCCAGAAACCGGGTTGGTTCATATTAGTTTCCACTAAAAATGGCATGATGTTCTGGGTCAAACTGTTGACATCTCAGCCATGGCATTTTACCGCGTCGCCCTAGCGAGGCGAACTTGTTCGAACACCGCCGCGCCGTCTGCCTCTGGGGTGGCCAAGGGAGTGGGAAGACGGCTCTGTGTCTGGAATTCTGTGGCCCGGCCGAAGGGATGATGGGAGAATGGCATGGAATCTGCCTGTGAAACATGATGAAACTGTGAAACATGTAGATTCAGATTCTAACATGGACGTCTGTGGGAATGCTTGGATGTGGGGTACCTGAGCTTGGACTCATCCCGAACTATCAAATTGGCAAGTGTCCAATCCTGGGATGGTAAGAGATTACTGGTAAGGCTGTGGGAAAACAGGCATATTTGAGAGAATAAAAAAATCTTAGACCAGTGGCTTTAAGCATCCTCAAGCCATTCTCCTGTTCAAAACCGTTAATTATGTCCAATTTCCCTCCAAAAAAACAATCCCCTCCCAAAAAAGTTGGTGGATTTCAACCAGTTTCCACTTTTGAGATCTTTTTACCACCATTCAAACTACGGCTTAGCCACCCCTTTCCAGGGATCCAGGACCCACGCTTCCGAGGTCGTTTCTTCAGCGCCCCTGGCCGACGATTTTCACACGCCGCCTTTCACATCACGGAGCGACAGGCCCCTAAAACACCCCTGGGAGGGCCGATCCTGGGGTGATCCTGGGAGAGGCTATGGTGGATATAGCAACCATGGCAACCTTATATAGCTATGATATCGGATGACCCATGAATGTCCGATGATTTACCTATGGACCTATTCGATCTTCGGTGATTTTCCACTTCGCAAACTATTAGTTGACTGGAGGGGATGTTTCGTAGTTGAAGCACATTTTTGATGATCAATTCACAATGTGTCAATGTGAAATCCCACGTTTTCCTGGTCAAAATGTCAGCTGTTGACAGCTCCATTTGTTCGTCAGATTTTCGTCCCATTTTCGGTGGAATCCCTGTAGTTTTGACACTGATCATCAGTTCAAACCACATTTTTTATCATTTTTTCCAGTCAAATCCCACATGTTTCTTTGTCAAATCCCCAAAATTTCTTGGTTTATTTAAAAAAAACAGTTTTCCTAGGTAAAAATCCTTAGTTTTTTGGTAAAATCTCAGTTTTCTTGGTAAAATCCAGCGTATCTTGGCCTCTGAGAGGTGGCCTGTAGCAGTCTTCTGGCAGTTCTGCTGCAGCAGCTGGGGCGCGGCGACGTCAGCGACGTCGCTGGTGGCAGCGTTAGTTCGCTGTTGCGGGCGGTGCGGGAGGTGGATGCCCTGAGGCACGGATTTGATGGGATTTCACCAGGATTTCACAGGGCTTTAATGAGTTTTCATGAGATTGAATGGAACCTGGTGGGATTTCGTGGTTGATTTGATGGAATTTTTCATGGCATTTAACCATCAGCCATTGGGATTTAGTGTGATTGAATGGGATTTAACATGATTTAACCATCAACCATAGGCATTGTCATAGGGATAACCGGGATAACTCACAAAATGGAGGCTATGAACGGGGTCCGCAATTTTCAGACAGACCCATCTTTTTGAGCATCATTGAACCTTAGATGAAATTGAGGTGGATTATTTAGATATTTCATACCCAAATGTAAAACAGGATCATCATCTCCCATTCAGATAGATTGTTTTATTTCCAAAGATAGCCAAATCTTAGGATCATTGCTAGAATTTAGATGGATTATTCAGATGTAAAATCTCTACTTGCAAAGATAGCCGCACATTGGAATCACGGTACCTAGATGGCTCATTCAGTTTTTTTTAATCTGGTCGACTTACATGGGTTTATCGCACTGGACTAGATAGAAAACCACCAAACATTTCATGGTTCATCATGATTTTCCCGTGAAAATGGCCTTTTTCTGCGGCGGGTATACCAGTATACCTCAGTTTCGGACAAGCCCATATCTACTGGAGTTTAGATGATTTGCTTAGCCTGTGATTTTTGAATTTTCTATTTTGATAAAAAGAAGAGGCCACGATTGGGGCCCTTTCAGATAATTGGAATTCGATAGGGGGAATCATCCTCAAATGTGTTGAGAACTTTGACACTGGTTTTTGGTTCATCCCTTTTTGTTATGGCTTGTGAGGATAGGTATATAATTATAGCAGATTCCAGGGTGTTGATAACCAGCAATCATGGGATTAGAAGCAAGTGATCATGAGTGATTACAAGCCGCAACTATGAGTCAATTATAAAGAAAGCACCACGACGTCGCTAGAAATAATGGGAATTATGTGGGGAATAATCCCCAAATGGTTGGTAAACATTTCATCATATTTTTTTTAAAAACACATTATGATTCATCATTCAGCAGGCAACATATGAGAACCTTCTTTTTTTTTTTGAAGGGACTAAGGTGGCTGAAATTGAACCCACAAGCCATGCCCATCCCCAAGGAGGAACAGCACTGAAATGTTTAGCCCACATAGGGTGGTTTTTGGGCAGGAGATCGCTCGTTTTTCCAAATTTTTGAGCAGGAACCATGGGATTTGACCATCATTGGAAGTAAAACATCACAGATGGGATTCAACATTCAACATGACTCAACGATGAAACATATATTGGATTGCAGTGCCTGGTAAATTCCACGTTTCGAGGTTTGGCAGGAGAAAAGGGGATTCGGCGGAGTTTGAAGCAGCAAAATTGGAGATGCAGCAAAGATGGGGATTTAGACAGACGTAGCCCAAGCAACATAGGATTCAACCAACCAAGAGGGGGACTCAACCAGGTAATGTGAGGCCAGAGGTAGGAGTTGGAACTGGCAGCATCAAAAACTGGGCATGGAAGACCCTACGCATGTTCGGGATTGATTTCACCATTAAAGATAGAGCTTTAACATGATCTGACCAAACATGAGGGTTTTTAGTGGGATCTATGGACTAGGAACCAAATAATATATACATATATATATATACATATATATATACATATATATATTATATTGGTTGTTGATATCGGCTTGTCTAAGCATTGTCGACGAAGAGCCAGAGATGATTGCTTTATGTTGGTTGATCCATTTATCATTCCTTTTATCCCATGTTTTCATGTCCTTTTCAGAAAAGTGACCGCTGACACCGGTTTCCCCCAGGCGTCCATGGTTGCTGGTGGTGGATGGTTTCAGCGAGGACCTGGAGAGCAGCGAGATGTTGCAGCTGGGCAAAGCCCGATGATCATAAGGGATGACACTAGCCACAAGGTGGTGCCCCCCCAAGTTATAAATGGGTTATAATCCCATTAACTATAGATATATCACCTATAAACCATAGTTATTGGACTTATAAACCAACTTAGCAAACTATGGGGCACCACCCTGCAATATATTGAATATATTGTTGACTGGAATGATCCAGGAAAAAACACGTGAACACTGAGAAAGCTGTAGGTCGCTGTCTCCCAAAACTGACTTGGGATGATGAAGCCATTCCACTTTCATGTTTTGAGATGGGTCCCTCAACTTCAAATCAGACCATAGACCACGTATTTTTCCAGTGAATTCCAGTCACGATGAGTCAGAGTCCCCGCCCCCAAGAAGTGATATGGGTATAATATCGGTATAATATGGGTATAATATGGGTATGGCTTGTAAAGCTTATACCCATGTTATACCATGTTATACCCATATTATACCAATATTTTGGTGCAATTTGGGTACCCACAATTTTGGTTTACTCAAGTGGAGATACAAAACAGCTAAATTCGGTCTGTTTTGCCGACCAGTTTTGGGGTACCGAATTCTGACCCATACGGATAGAATTGATTTGTTTCCTCCAGACATCGAACATTGTAGCCTCCCAAAAGATCCAACCTCCAAAAAAACTGTGGCAAACCTTTCCAACCTTTCCAACCCCCAAAGATTTGTGGAAAAATCGTCCAGCTTTTCCAATGGTCGAAGTTGAGGTCCCATCTACTGGCCGAGACCACCCATTTGCATCTGCTGCTGACCGCGCGCGACCCGCTGGGCCACTGGGCCATGGGATACTCCAAGGTGCGGTGACGGGCGACCACCAGTCGCAACCATTCTGGGGAATCCTTGGTTGAAGTTTGGTTAATTGGCATGTTTGTGTGTGTGTGTGTGCGTGTGTTTGGATAGGCATATTTCGTACTCAGCCAAAAGCAATATATATATATATATACATATTCAGTTAATTAATAAATCAATTAATTGATTAAATACACATGCTTTCCGCAGGGGTCAGAGGGCCTGATTGGCCAATTAGCCACAATGATGAGTCCCAATCAAGTTTTTTTTTGTTTTTCTGGATGTTTCACCATTTCCAACCAATGGTTTGCTGGTGGTCAAAGTTGGTGGTTTGGATGCCTGGGAATGGGAATATCCCAGGGTGTGATTGTCCGATCAACTGTTGTGTGGCTATTCTCATCCAATTTGTTGCTGCAGCCCACAAAGTGGTGCCCCATACTCAGCTAAGTTGGTGTACAAGTGAACGATTGGACATAGTAGTGATAGTTTGCAAACCAACAGACACAACTATTATCAACTATTACTATTATGGCTTCACTATTATGGTCGTCACTATGGGTTTATGATTACCCTCTGG